TCTCTGCCCACCACGGGTATCGAAACCCGGTTTCTAGCGTTGTAAGTCCGCAGACATACCGCTGTACCACTGGGGGGGGGGGGCTCCTCGTGAGTAACCCTGAACACAAGTTAACCAAAGATAGATAAGCTGGACCTAAATCATAGTGAAAAGTATCAAACATATTAAACAGTTTTCGGAATACTAAGTTTATTTATTATATCTGCTATTGTGTGGCCTTATAATGTGAAGAACTGGTTAGTGGCTAAGGACACTTTGTTTCTTAGTGACTATAAAGCACGTTCACACCAACAGTATGTATGAGTATGGCAATATATCATATATGTTTAGAGTAATGGTAATTCTTGTGTGATAATGGACACGAGCATATAGAGTGTAGAAATGTAAAACATTCACACAATATATCATATGTGTTTAGAGTAATGGTAATTCTTGTGTAATAATGGACACGAGCATATAGAGTGCAGAAATGTAAAACAGTCACACAATATATCATATATGTTTAAAGTAACGGTAATTCTTGTGTGATAATGGACACGAGCATATAGAGTGTAGAAATGTAAAACATTCACACAATATATCATATATGTTTAGAGTAATGGTAATTCTTGTGTGATAATGGACACGAGCATATAGAGTGCAGAAACGTAAAACATTCACACAATATATCATATATGTTTAGAATAATGGTAATTCTTGTGTGATAATGGACACGAGCATATAGAGTGTAGAAATGTAAAACATTCACAGTGACTCTAAAGACTTAAGGTGCCATTGAATACTGGTCTCAACGAAGTGAACAACAACAACAACAACAAAAAGAGTCCAGGAGACAAAACTGCGTCTATATCTTTAAAAACAAACAACAAAAAAAAACACTAGTTTTAAATAAACAATGAAATTAACTCCTTGTATTAGTTTGAAAGAAACACCGAAATTAGCGCCAACTTCTAAACTGTTATTATAGTTGTTTTGGTGGATTCGTTTGTTTCGCTAAGACTGTTCAAAAGTAGCATTTTAGGACTTTGAATTATTTTTATTATTTTGTTAAAACCTGTGTGTAGTACTATTTAAGAGATTGTTGATATTTATTTAAAACCGTAAGAACTGGTGCATAGTTGTGGTCTAGGAACTTTGAGTTATTTTTATTATTTATTAAGAACTTTTACGTAGTTGTAGTTTACCTAGGAACTTTGAGTTATTTTTATTATTTACTAAGAACTTTTACGTAGTTGTAGTTTACAAGTTTTCAGTCTGGAATGAAAATATATAAGAGTTGTAATTATTTATGTCCCTAATCAAGTGTTAGTGATACAGCAAAATAACTCAAACAGACAATACTCAAGGGCTTCACAGCTTTCTATATACCAGCTATGACAAGAAACAGCTACTGTTAATGTCAATGGGACAATTAGTTCTCTTGTTTATGCAAAACAAATGTCAAGTGAACAATCACGTAAACTGACATGTAAGTGTCCTCTCTTGGATCACGTAAACTGACGTGTAAGTGCCCTCTCTTGTATCACGTAAAGTGACATGTAACTGTCCTCTCTTGGATCACGTAAACTGAGATGTAAGTGTCCTATCACGTAAACTGAGATGTAAGTGCCCTCTCTTGGATCACGTAAACTGACATGTAAGTGTCCTCACTTGGATCACGTAAACTGACATGTAAGTGTCCTCTCTTGGATCACGTAAACTGATATGTAAGTGTCCTCTCTTGGAGACTATGGCTACAAGTTCTTTTTTGTAATTTTAGTTACTTTGTAGCCCTATAAACGTTTATATGGGGTAATGATCAATTCAGACACGAGTGAATCAATGAAAAATGTTAGTCACTACTCTATCAGAATTGCTTCCAGTTCATCAATACTGCTTGTTAAATCACATGCTGTTCAGGCTCTTCCCCCAATATATCATAAATGTTCATTTGGATGTTCTGCTCGCTTGATACTCTTTCTTTACAGGAAGCTGCTAACTAGTTGAGAACGCCGGGTCGCGCCCTATCAGCCGTTAGAACTTTGACAAGCATTATATCAATATTAATATCGGTATTACTATATTGTATGGCTTTTACCGTGCCGTGTGGCTACCGGCATTTATTCCTGCCCAGACCAAAATGTGCCCATCGTCATCTTGGGTCTTATCACCTCGTAATTCGGATTGGATCTAGTACCGACTATACTTCAAATGTTGGAGTGTGAAGAAGACATTGGTCGTTTGGACCAATTCATATGTTCTCGACACAACTGAAACTGGATATTTTGTGGCAACAGGACAGAGAATCGAACACGATTGGTCATTTAACATAAAGACACCCTCATGAATACTTTTTTCTTGCCGTTTTCGCGCTAACTTGTCGTCCAGTTTCTACTCTGAATTGTTCATCCAATCAAGAAGATGACGCCCACCGGTCATGTTGAGTCCATATTGTCGAATAGTAGTTACCTTGTAGGATGGCCAACAGTGGTATACCCTGTCCAGATCTCCGGCCAACCAACTATGTTGGTGGCCTGAAAGCGGGTTCACATTTTGATATTCTGTGAGGCTTATAATCACACTGCAATGACACGGGTTTAACCAGCTCCTAGATGACCTATTGCCCTCAACGTCATGGAAATGTCTAGATGTTTTCGTTGAAGTCTTAGCATGTTGTTCTTTCAATCTTGACTTCTTTAAACATCCTACTGTTGTTCTCCTAAATTAGAATACATTGTGTTACCTTCACTTTCGTATACATCTGAAATTTGCATGTCAGTTCACATGACCGACAATTTGAAATAACAATGAATTGGGGGGGGGGTGTCTTTGATATTATTTAATAACATTGGGTTTGCCTTGTCATAGCTAAGATATAGAAAACTTTTCTCATTCTTTAATGGTTTTGAACAGTGTATCATCATATCAGGATTAACAAGACAGTGATAACGAAGTTTGAACATTAAACTTACCACTCTAGATCAGTTATTAATTAAACAGAATTTATTAAACATAGCAAAACAAGTATTTCCAAATGAAGCGATAAATAAACATCAACAACATTTCAATTTTGTTGCACCGCGAGAAATTTTCGAATACTGATGAAGAAATTACAACTAGAACGTTTACAATGACTCAAAGGGACAACTGCAATGTTAACAACACTGTTGTGCTAACAAAAATCTTAATCACGAACAAAATCTCTCTTATGGTAGGAAAAAGGTTCTTTCAGGGTCCCTTTGCAATTTTTCTTTAAAAAATAGTCTGTTTTTTGTGTATTATTAAAAGAAATTGACATGATATGAGATATGAGAGACTAACAAAACATAACGAATAAACTCGGGACACATTCGACACGATTATCGTTAATAATAACTTGGTGTATATGATGTGTTATATACAGAATTAGTTATGTTCAAATTTCTATTACAGCTTTCATGAACACATCTGTACGAATATTCGTCACTTGAATTGCAATGTCGAAACCACATTTTCAGTAACTTTTTTCATAGTTTTGCTAGGCACATCTATTAAACCTTGCTTGCTTGTTTTAGGGCAAAGCCATATTGGGCTATCTGCTGTGTCCACCGCAGGGAATCGAACCTTACATTTTAGCGTTGTTAGTCCGTAAGCTTATCGTTTTCCCACTTAGGGACGTATTAGATCCAAAAAACCTTAAAATAAATTATAAAAACTCAATTATCTCAAAACAACGTTGCAAATGACCCAGTGTTAACTCAATGGTAGCCTGTTGAGTGGTTAGTTGTTGTTAATGTGAAAACCAACACAATAGTCTATCTACGCTATGTCCACCTCAGGGAATCGAACCATGGACTTTAGGGTTATAAGCTTATAAGGTTACCGCTGAGCCAGCGGGTGGGGAGGCAGTGGGAGAGCTAAGAAGTTTTATAAGAATCTATGAAGTGTAATTTGCAAATTAATTATTATTTGGATTTTTTTAACAGGATGACTGAACTCCACTTTTTTATGAATATTTTAAAAAAACTTTCAGTAACACCAAAAAAAAATTACTGAATTCCACTTTTTGTGAATATTTCATCTTTTTAGTTTAGTAACAACAAAAATATCACTGAACTCCGCTTTTTATGAATGTTTCAAATTTCTATTAACACCAAAAAGGCCACTGAACTACACTTTTTGGGGAATATTTAATATTTCTAGTAACAATAAAAAAAATCACCGAACTCCACTTTTTGTGAAATACTTCAAGTTTTAGTAACACCAAAAAAAAGATCACTAAACTCCACTTTTTGTGAATGTTTAAAATTTTTATTAACGACAAAAAAGATCACTGAACTCCACTTTTTGTGAAATATTTCAACTTTCTAGTAACAGTAAAAAAGATCACTGAACTCCACTCACCGTCATTTGAGCCGTTGTTTCCTTCAAGGAATTCTAAGTAATGTGTTTTACAGAGAACCCTGTTGTCATACAAGGCAAACTCCTCTCCCGTAGATAACTGTCTCTTGCAAGAGTCGCAGGCGAAGCAAGCCAAATGGTAAACCTGGTCACGGGCCCGCCGTACCCAATCTGTTGACTGTATTGTTCTGCTACACTTGGAACACTTGGCTCCAAATACCCTGAACGAAGCACAGAAATAGTTTCAATCAATCAAAGTACGTGTTAGTGCGTTTACTGTTTTAAATGTCAGCTTGGAAGGAAGTAAATAATATATATCACATCTTCAGCCTGTTTAATTCATAGCACGACAGAGATTCGCATAAAACTAAAATTTTGTTTGTTATGGATTTCGCGCAAAGCTGCACGAGGGCTATCTGAACTAGCCGTCCCTAATTTAGCAGTGTAAGACTAGAGGGAAGGCAGTTAGTCATCACCGCCAACTCTTGGGCTACTCTTTTACCAACGAATAGTGGGATTGACCGTCACATTATAACGTCCCCACAGCTTAAAGGTCGAGCATGTTTGGTGGGACGGAGATTCGAACCCGCGACCCTCAGATTGCGAGTCGAGCGCCCTAACCACCTGGCCATACCGAGCTAAAACTAAAATAAAAGAAAACAAACCACTAAACATGTTTTACATAACGTGTACTTTTCTCTAAATCGGAAATGGTTTATTCTTTTTTCATCTATACTTTAATCTAATAGTTTTACACGTAGATTGTATTTTCACCAACTCAATTCCGTGATTTCATCTTAAGGTAAAACGTTTTTTTACACCTTATGAAACTGATTCTATAGACTTCTACAGCTATGAGTAAAGTAAATTTCTTTGTTTTTTTAGCGTACAAAACTACACAATAGATTATCCGCGCTTTGTCCGCCGCGGGGGATCCGACTTCGGATTCAAGCGATGTAAGATTTATTTGTTTGTTTATAATTAAGCACAAAGCTACACAATGGGCTATCCGTTCTCTGCCTACCACGGGTATCAAAACCCGGATTCTAGAGTTGTAAGTCCGCAGACATACCGCTGTGCCACT